TTGTGGATCAGCTGCTGGGATTGCTGCTGCTTTTCGTGCTCCTGTTGGTGGTGTTTTATTTGCTCTCGAAGAAATGGCATCTTGGTATGCTAAACCTACAGGCTCTGCCTTTGTTATCAGTCAGATGATGCTCTAGTTTTCTCATACTTATGCTCTTGTTGAAATTGAAGGCTGGTTGTTCTGGGAGTTTCATTATATTAATTCTGCTTTTGTAACTTCAATGTTCAGATTTCTGTTTTTTCCTTTTGGATGTTTGCTTCATGAATTTTTGCCTTTGGTTGTGCAGTTGTAAGTCTTAAGTTATCATGTTTAGAATCATTTTTAGAGAGGGTTGAGTGTGTTTCTCTGTTCAGATTAGTATTTGGCTTAAATGGATTACTTTATCCTTGCAAAAACTTTTGATTACTTTGTGAGCTTGGAAATTTGGGGGGTCATTGTAATGTTAGTAGATTTGAATTGCTGAGTTGGAATTGACAGCTTGCAAGGAAAGCCTATCGAAATCAGGTGGTACCTAGCAGCACTAAGTTTTGAACTAACCCTTTGGGATTAACCATAAACTTTATGAATTTACAAGATCATTTGCTTTTACACCAATAAGGAAGCTGAAGGAAATGAATTGGATGGTGTACTTTAAATAATCTCATTCATGCTTTTGGTGAGAGAAACTTTATGGTGCTGCTGTTTCTTGTCGTGAGATGGTGGTAAAATAAACTTTGCATGTGAGAAGTTGAGGACTGTGCACTAATGGGCTTAAGTTATTAGATTATATGTACACTTTGTGCTGTAATTGGGAAAACTAATTTCTTGATTTAGGAATGGGTCATTCACTCTGTCTTTCTGCTCCATTTCCTCTATATCACATCAACTTGTACAACTTCGTTCGTCGGTCTTCCAGATGTTTCTTAGAACCACCCTGAATTAGCAATATGATTCTGTCCCACATCCTAAAGATGATGTTACCAGTATGTTTGTCACATTGGACGCAAATCAACAGTGTCTCCTCTCACTATTTGGCACTTCATGTAAATATGATGCTTTTTCTAGGAACTATTTATTTCCATTGGGAACTTCTTTTTGTAACATCTGTTCAGGCACTGAAAGATTTATTTATTCTGCAGGTGGAGAAGTGCTCTTCTGTGGAGAGCTTTCTTCACAGCTGCTATTGTTGCGATTGTCCTTCGTGCTTTGATTGATGTTTGTTTGAGTGGAAAATGTGGACTATTTGGTAAAGGGGGGCTAATCATGTATGATGTGACCTCAGCTGATATTCCCTATCACCTATGGGATGTGCCTCCAGTAATACTTCTTGGAGTTGTAGGGGGCATATTGGGAAGTTTGTACAATAGTTTACTTGAAAAGGTTCTCCGAATCTACAATCTGATTAATGAGTAAGTTCCCAAACTCTAACTTCTGCTTTCAAGATTTTCCTTTTCCTTTTTTTAAGGCACATGCAGATACATTATCCAATGTTTTCTGTTTCCAATTCCAGAAAAGGCACTTTTTTCAAGATAATTCTTGCTTGCTGTATATCCATATGCACATCCTGTCTTCTATTTGGATTACCATGGATTGCATCTTGCCGTCCTTGTCCGCTTGATCCTTCAGAGCCTTGTCCAACAATTGGCCGGTCTGGGAATTATAAGAAATTTCAGTGTGCCCCTGGTCACTACAATGATTTAGCCAGCCTCTTTTTCAATACAAATGATGATGCAATCAAAAACCTTTTCAGCAAGAATACTGATGCTGAGTTCCAGCACTCTTCAATGCTAATCTTCTTCGTCACCTGTTTTTTCCTGAGCATCTTTAGTTATGGCATTGTCGCACCTACAGGTCTCTTTGTACCTGTTATTGTTACTGGTGCGTCTTATGGACGGCTTGTAGGAATGCTAATTGGTTCACGCTCAACTCTCAACCATGGCCTTTTTGCTGTCCTAGGTTCTGCTTCTCTTCTTGGTGGATCTATGAGGATGACTGTTTCTTTGTGTGTTATTATCTTGGAACTTACAAACAATCTATTATTGCTGCCCCTAATAATGCTGGTTCTTCTTATTTCCAAGACTGTAGCTGATGCATTTAATGGAAATATATACGATCTGATTATGAGGTCAAAGGGTTTTCCTTACTTAGAAGCTCATGCTGAACCGTACATGAGGCAACTGACAGTTAGGGATGTGGTCACCGGCCCACTTCGGCTTTTCCAAGGCATTGAGAAGGTTGCTAATATAGTTCATGTCCTCAAGACAACTGGGCATAATGGGTTTCCGGTGGTGGATGAGCCCCCATTTTCTGAAGCCCCAGTTTTGGTTGGTCTTATCCTCCGTGCCCATCTCATCACATTGCTGAAGAAGAAAGCTTTTTTGCATAGTCCAATGCCTAATTTCTCTGATGCCTTTAAAGGGTTCATGGCAGATGATTTTGCAAAGAAGGGTTTGGGAAATGGAGACAGGATTGAAGATATAGATTTGTCAGATGAAGAGATGAATATGTTCGTAGATTTGCATCCTTTTATTAACACTTCACCATATTCTGTGGTAGAGACGATGTCCTTGGCAAAGGCTCTTATACTTTTCCGGGAAGTCGGTTTGAGGCATGTGCTGGTGGTTCCAAAAATACCTGGAGTAAGAATTTTACCATGTACTTATTCTGATATGACAAAATATCACTTTGACAGCAACTTATCCTCTTGTTTTTTATTAGTTGCAATTTCAAATGCGCCTCATTTCTCTCCCCATCACTTTTGTTTTCATTCTTTTTTGGAACTGAAAATGTTTCATTACTTACTGTCTGTCTTGCAAGTAGGAGTTACGTTAGTCTCTGCTTTCATGACTAGTCAGCTTTCATTTCTTACTGCCTGTCTTACACGTATGATATACATCACTATCTATATTCATTACTGGCAACCCCCCCTCTCTCTCTCGCATCCTTCATAGCTGAAACAATTCTCTGTTTTTCAGAGAGAGATTACTGCAATGATTACATGATACGAACATGGGTCCATGATTCATGTTCAAGTCATGAAGATGGTTGAGTAATTGAAGTCCAACGTTCCAGCCATTCCTTTCTTGAGAATTAGTGTGTTTACTTAGTTATTAAGTCCTTAGTATCATGTGTTTATGATATTTTCCAGCCAATTGTTGTGGTTGGTCCAAGTATTGTTAGTTGGGCCGATTCATGTTAGCTTAAGAGTTAAATGAATCATTAGTTTGGTTAATTAAAAATTAGGTCATGTTGCCCTCAGGGCTTGGTCTGGTGGTTGAGGTTGCTGAAGATGGAGACTCAGGTCCCTGGTTCGAACCTTGCTGCCAGCAAGTTGCTGAGGGTGGTGAATAGTCTGCGGGGTCCACTCCCTGCGGGACACACCAAAAAAAAAAAAAAAAAAAAATTAGGTCATGTTCATAGTTAAGCCTTAAGAGTCGAATTAGTTTCCTAGCTAGAATTGAGTTAGGTTTAGTTAAAAAGTTTCCTAATTTAATTAGATTTCTTTTGAGTCTTTGTAAAGGCTATAAAAGAGCCTTAAAGTCCAACGTTTTTTGGAGATGAATTATAAAAGAAAATGTCCTGTTAGCAACATCTCTTGTCCAAGAAATCCAACTTGAATACTTGAGAGGATTCTTAAATTTTTTAATTGACTTATCAATTCAAGGTCACGTTGAATTGTGGTGTCATTCTACCCTTCTATTCAATCTCGAGCAGTCCTTGATTGTCTAGAATCCGTCCAATTTATCCATAATCTGATCAAGATAGATCCTTTCGCTGCCTGATCGATTTGGTTCTTCAAGACAAGTTCTTGTTGGGTCAAACATGGGTCCATGATTCATGTTCAAGTCATGAAAATGATTGAGTAATTGAAGTCTCGTTCACCGTATGTTTTTCTTCTGTAGGGATATTGATTGAATAGGACTCCTAACTGCTTGTATCATCTGCGCGCATCCGTTCTTTTACAAGTCAACTTCTATTCTCCAATCTTTATTTTTATATGTTTATATTTTTATCCTGCTCAAACTGCCTGTAAATGCTGTTTTTTGTTTTCTCAGGGAGTGCCAGTTGTGGGGATATTGACCAGGCATGATTTCATGCCAGAACACGTACTGAATGTGCATCCCTCGTCGCTGAGGAGCAGGTGGAGAAGATTGAGATTTCAGATTTCAGTGGCCGAGTTGGAGTAAAATTTTTTAGCGACTTTTTACCAAAGCACTGCTACGAGGCAGCCCTTGTGGCTGTACGGGGTCTGGAAAGGTAATATGACATATTATTTTTCTAAGACTTCCTTTTGACGTAGAGAATTCATAGGGATCATCTAAAAGATGGTCCATGGCAAATCTTGCTGCCGCCAGACCTGTTGAGTTATGGTCTGGTTGATATGCTATTATTTCACCCGTTTAGATGGAAGCGTATAAGCAGAAGCAGAGGGTGAGAAGGATGACGTATATGAGATACAAGTAAAGAGCCAATTCATCAAAGAGGGTGAGAAAAAACAGTCACCGGATTGCTTGGCAATGACGGTGGTTTTGACAATGTGGCATGCCGATTCACATTTTCACGTTCTGTTCTCGTTGCTTCATCGCAGTTATTGTTTATAATAACAGCTAGCTCTGAAGGCTGCTATTATAAGATGTATCTGTGGATTAGGATCTCTACTTGTCTAAACTAGAAGATCTCAAGCTAATCTGGGAGCCACCATGTGTCCCTCCCGTCTTAAATTTAGACATAGCATGGCTGAATTTTAAAACTAGTTTCCTTTGGAAATTTGTTGATCAGTAAGGCCCCTGAATAGCATCCTCTGGGCCTTAAGTTTTCCTAATAATTCTAGTTATGACTCTCTTTCGGAATAAGTTGCCATTTCTCATATCCTACTAAACCCCACTCACATTATTCGCACTACTTGTATATGGACTACTACCAGAAAACTCAAACGCCACCAAAATTTTTTTTTAAAAAAAAAAAAGAAAAAAAAAAAAGGCCATGCACTCCAGTTTTTCTAATAATTTCCAAAAACAATATGCAGCGCACAATGATAAATTCATTCATAATAGAGAAGAGAAAAACGAAATAGCCTAGAAACTGTCAAGCAGCAAACACCTGAACAAAGTAGCTCCGTGTTTGAAAGGGACTAGCAATTTATTTCGGGGCTGACATTAGAGGATTACAATAGTAGTACTACTACTAGAGCGGAGTGGAACAACCTCAGGCGATCAGGGGAGTCGAGTGAAGAAGATGATCTAACAAGGTTTGCTGCAGAAACAGCGTCTTCTGAGGCCACTGCACTGCCCCCCTGGAAAGCCTTCGGTCTGGCACACAGCTGCACAGTTGCTCCCTCTTACACACGTTCCCTTGAACCGGTGGCTCAGGGACTCGCAGGTCCTTGCCTCTGCCACCCTCACTGGATCCATCTCTGTTTAACGCAAGCATATCACACACACACACGATACAAAAAAAACCAATTAGTAGCCACAGTGGTTGTTTAAACGCGTAACAAGAACCACACTCGTCGTGAAGGCATTAGAGGGAAGAAAGTTGTCGGCCCAAGATGTGATGTAATGTTCATCATGCATGCATGGTTTGGAACAAACTCAAAATGATAAGAGCACGGAAAAGACAACAAAAACAAGGAGGAGATGGCATGGTGTAGACCTGTGGACATGAAGAGCATCAGCAGGAGGAATGCAGTTGCAAACAGGCGCATGGAATACGTCATCTTCGTCATCATCATATTATAGAGATCGGAAGGACTCGTAATGGAGCGTGGGAAGTGGGTGAGGAAGCCTCTCTATGGCATGCTGGTTTATTTATAGGGCTTGAAATGTTTCATAACGTACTCGAGTCTTCCAATTGATCGGTAGCCAGATACGATTGATATAAATGAATGAAAAAATAGGTCAAAAAACATCTACCCACAGAACGTGCCCGACAGGTGGCGGCAGAAATGGTTGCACAGAGATCAGAGACGCGTGCATGAAAGGAAATGAGAGAGTTTGGTAGGTAGCTTCAGCGGTGCCATTACTTGCTGCGGTAGTAAGGGCAATGACAGTGTGACAGCCCCACCATTACTGCTGCAGTAGCAGTAACTAGTAAGGGCAAATGACAGTGTGACAGCGCCACCACTTGTAAGCTGAGTCATCGAGTCAGGACAGATTTTTCTTAAAGGCCCTTTCTCTGTCGAGTCTTCATCAATTCTTGGAAAATAGGGAGCCTAGCTAGTAAAATCTTCCGTGCAGGATTTTTCGACTCTCGCTGCATTTACTGTTGTTCATAATTTCATAACCTACTCTTACTACCCTCATTGAAAACTCTCTCCTGCCAAACCAGGATGAATGGATGATATTTATATGACCATGCGCAAGTGAAAAAGGAGAAATGGATAATAGTAAGCGGGGCGGAATTGTCGAATTAGGATACTGTACAATTCAACTTACTAAGCACTCAATTAAACATGTTTATTAAACAATATTAATAGATTCGACATTAAGATTTTCTTTTCCGTGCTTAAAGTTCAGCACATTAGCTAGCTGTTTCAGCAGTGTTTAGATTTTAAATTCAGATTCATCAAACGGACTGAATAAGTTGGCGAGTAGCACTTGCATGATACTCTATTTCGTGAATTCAAAGGGCAGGACTCGGGAGATGCCTGTTCAATGTGTTGTCTCATCCCTTTGGTAAAAGCTAAATGCAAAAGAGAAAGCAAAAGGAAAATTAGTCGGGATAGATATCCCTTCAGCCCGCCCAAAGAGATAACCCTCCTTATCATGGCCAGTTCAAATTTATGTCTTCTTCTGCATCATCGTCTCTATCGTCCACAAATATCACTGGAGCACAAAATATTGTTTACTTTAACCGCCGGACCAAAGGGAACAAGAGTTTTAGAGCATGTTGAAAAGCAGACGCAGAATTGGAGCGAGGACTCTTTCTTCTGGTTCCATACTCAAGCTCAAGCTCAGCTTAGCTAAATGATCGTTTTCTTTTCTTTAGGCTGATCGTCGTGAAATCTTGTGAGAGAATTCAATGGGCAACACGGAAATAAACAAGCCCCCTGTACCAAACAGAAGATAAAACGTCCTTCCATTGTAAAGGACAGGACAAAAATACTGAAATGTACGAATAGTCTTGATGGATCCGTGAATAATGCAAAGTAAGCAGAAAGCTTTATCGAGTCTCCAATTTCCGTCCAACAGCAACAGCAAAAGTCGTTTGGGCCAATTATGTAACTATGTAGTAGTATATTTTATGATTAACTAATCTGCTCAGTACGGCAACTTTTGTTTTTTCCCTCCTTAGCTCAGTATCTAATACTTCAATCTTAAGATTTCTTCTTGTACTGATTGATGATGATTTTGTGAATATTCTTCTTCTTGATAGAATGCATATTCCAAGAGGGTCATAGCTATCTGTACTGTATGTAGTAGTAGTTATTATTATTTTACGTAGCCACGAACACAAGCTGCGGTCTCGATGGTTTAAGATGACGAACAAGGTCTGGTGCAGAAACAGCGTCGGCGGAGGCCCCTGCATTTCCCTCCCTGAAACCCTTCGGTCTGGCACACGGCGGCGCAGTTGCTCTCCTTTACGCAAGGCCCCTTGAACCGCTTGCTCGGTGTCTCACACGTCCTTTCTATTGCCGCCACAGCCGCGGCCTTCCTTCTACTTGGACCCTTTTCGTTTCCTGTATCTCCACACAATACTGGACCCATCTCTGCAGTAGTTAATGGCTTCAAGAGATGTTTAAAACGATCAATCTTTTCATACAAAGAACTCCGTACATGGTCTAATCTGGCTATTTTAGACCCGTTTGTGTATAGAAGAAAAAAAAAAATTTTTTTTTGGGCGGCTCGAGTGAAGAAATTTTAGGAGATTCATCCTCGATAGATTTCCGAAAGAAATACACGCACAATTAAGCTACAAATATGAAATATCTTTTCTTCCTCTCCCCGGATTAAAGGGTGTCATATAAGTGCACAATTACTGTAGTTGGTTCATGCTCAATATGGACAAGTCAAAAGGTTGCGTAGAATATTATAATTTCACCCGAAAGAGACAGAACAAGAAAAAATGGAGATGTCCGGACCTGTGTCATGGGCAATGGCCAGCGCCAGCAGGAGGAGAAGGAGGAATGCAGTTGCAAACAACCACTTGGAATACCCCATCTTCATTCTTGAATCTTGATTCCGGGAAGACTACTCACAGAGTAATGTTGGAGAGTGGCAGGTTAATTTATAGATAAGGTCTGAATTGTTTGATTACCTGTTCAAAATGATCAGCTGATCAGTCACTTGACTTGTGTGAAGCAGAACACTGCTTTCAAGCATCTGTCATACGTTTTCCCTTCTCAATATATTAAGACGTGAACGCATTTTCTTAGTCTTTTTATGCATACACAGGGCTTTGCTTTGAAAACCAAATTTGAACATCCTTTCACCCGATTGATTCGTAGTGATTATTTACTCTAGTAGTATATCACACTTGAGCTCATTCTTAAACCATTTTCAAACTAGTAGCTACAGGGATGCAAGATGCAGCAGAGAAACTGGGATGGGAATAAGGAAAGGCTCTGAAAAATGGCTGACATCCCATCCACATTTACGTGGGTTTCCACTCCCTGAGGGTCTCCGTAGCTTCATTTCCTCCATCCGCACCACGTTCATTACAAGGATCAATCATACCCTGATCAAGCCAATAGGTAGTCCGCCTTGCTTGCATCCATTCAATCTTTCACGGTTCTAAATCCGAAGCAAAAGAAAACGGAACAATGGGACAACGAATCATGCAAGTGTTCTGCAATTTGTTCCGAAGAGCAATGTTCTGTACTAACGATGTAATTCATTCAAGTATTGCCGTCGTTAACAGCTATCATCCTTTCGAATAGGGTACCCTGAGTGACGCAAAGCCAAAAGCTAATACAAATGCATCTACACAATTGATGAGCACCAAGTTTGAGGCAACGGATCATTATCATAAGAGAAAAACGTGGAATTGACGAAAATAAAGGCCAACAGAAAATTGTCAAAACAGGGTCTTTCTATACAGCATCAACAAAAAAAGCCACTACAAACTTCCAAGTCACTCACTCCTTCCCCTTCTCATGTAGTCCATTCTAATTGCCCACAATTCCTCTCCCACTACCTTCATGTCTGGACGATCAGCTCGTGTAGGTGCTGCGCACTGGATAGCTAAACCAAACATCTTCATTAGTATCTCCCTGTCTATTGTTTCATGCATTTGGGGGTCGAGCATGCCAAAAACATTTCCTTCACTATACTTGCCAAAAGCCTGCATGCACACGATGGGAGAGGTGTTGTAAACAATCCAAATCTGGTTGAGATTTTAATTTTTAAGAATTAAAAGCTAAATTGCCACTTTTACCGAAGCCTCAAAGCACTCAAAGGTAATTCAACAGACTGATATGCAGGCTCAACAGACTTATCACCCTAAGTTCCATCCGACCAGGAAAAGTAAGGGCAAGCAACTGGATAATCCTCAAATACACACACACACACACACACACACACCTGTTCAGTAATCAATTGTTGCACATTTACATTAGTCACGGCATAACTCATCAAACATTACAGACTTCGACTCAATCTTGCACTTATTCCTACCACTATGCTATTTCAAATTTACAAAAAGGGTACAGAATTTTCATCATCATAAAATCAGTTCACTTTGCCCCTTCTAACAGAGAGTCAGCAGCTATTAACTATCTATCTACAAACAGAACTAAATTAATGTCTCCAACTAATGTATTTTTGGAAGATATATGCTGTAAAATCAGAAACATTTAATGTGACAGGAAGCACTGAAACTTGGACTCTTGAAAGATGCCAGCCCAACAAATGACCAAGAAGTCATTAGACAGTGGTCTCTTAATTCTGATCAAATCCAATGAGGCAGGAAAGAGCATGGAGCTGTTATTTGCTTGTGGAAAATTAGGGCCATATTCACTAGGTCTTTCTGCCTAGGAAATCATTATGGGTTGGGTGGTTGGTGGGTTGGTGGGGAGGGAGTGTAAGTGAGAGATCCTGGGTTTGAGTCCTCCCACTTACACTCAAAAAAAAAATTTTTTTTTGACTTAGTAATTCCATAAATTTGACTACTAAAGTTCCTTGACTGAGAAAGGTCATCAAACGTAGCACAGTTATACGCATAGCATGGGACAGAATAGATCTCAATGAAAAACTACAGAGATGTTCAACACAATGCATTTTGATCATTGCCGAAGAATTCAAACAAAATGTAGCATAAGAAGTACTGTCTCAGAACAGGAGGATCAGCAAGATAGCAACTAAAAATTCCTTTGACATTGATGATGCAAACCAAGAAGCTCACTAGAATGATCTTATGCATTTTATTCCCTTTCTGCTTTGTTTTTCCCTTTTAGTCTTCACCTACTAATCCAAGTCCCAGTTGAAAACAATACCTACTGATTGGTACGTGGATGTTCATGAACCTGACAGGAGGAACTTATGACTACCATATGATATTAAATCATACAGGAAGACTTCCAAGACAAACACCATTGTTTTAATACAGACTCTTAAGCAAATTTACTCCAGACAGATCCCTTGGCCTTTCAAGAACCCATGCGATTAGGTACACGGGAAGTGCACAAGCCATAAATGTTAAGAGTAAAACTAGCTAGCCGAGTGAAATAGCTTTTAAAGTCTTGGCAGCCAAGTCAAATTGTTGTCAAAAAGACGAGGAAAAGAAACATACCCATCTAATTGTCACCCTCTCTTCAGCAGGTTTTTTCAACTCCACTGGACGACGACCTGATAAAATTTCTATTAACAGAACCCCGAATGAGTATACATCACTCTTCGATGTGAGTTGATAAGTCTTCATATATTCTGGATCCAAGTAACCAACTGTTCCTTTAACTTTAGTCGAAACATGTGTTTTATCAGAGTCCATCTCTCCTTGCCTTGCGAATCCAAAATCGGCAACTTTGGCTCTCATGCTTTCGGTCAGAAGAATATTGGATGACTTCACATCTCTATGGATTATTTGCTTCTCTGCAGCAAAGTCAACAATTAAGATCATGTCTTTCCACCAAATAATCAAAAAGCAGAATGATAGGAGAAGCACATTTGAAATAGCAAAATTCTGAAAGGCTTTTGAAATGGAATTAGAAAATGTTTAAGTGAATATCAGCATTTAACACGATAGACTAACCAGTATGGTTAACTGTAAGAGTGTCTTCAATAGAAACCAGTAAACTGCTTTAATTTCGTACGATGCAGTTTAAGATCCTCATAACATTAATCTACAAAATAATGCCATTGTGATAACTAATTGCAAGAGAATCCTAAAGGTTGTCTTCTCCATTGATAAAAGAAAAGAGCATTGAAGCACGATTTTGTTGCTGCTTAGGGTGGATGTTTCCTTGGTCCAGATTATGCACTATTTAGCTTATCATATATTTGGAGATCTCAAGTGGGTCAGCTCGTAAAAAGTTTTACTTATTGATAATTTCTATAACAGTATGCTAAAAATTGGCATTTTCTAGCAAAAACAAGAAGCCCTTCAAATTTAGATGCTTTTTTTCGACTGGTTCCTAATGTTCCAAGTTGAGTATTATCCTTCAATGAGATTTTGTGCAGTAAGTAGGAAGTGAATCGGCTATATAGATATATAAGGTAGTCACCTGCATACAGATGCAGATACGTCAAGGCATGCGCAACATCAATAGAAATCTCAAGTCGCTGATTGAAGTCCAAGGTTTTGCCTCGTAGACCTGCAAGAAATATTACGGACCATCAGTTGGTCATTTTCCTCATTTTGCATAATGCTAATGGTTTAAGAGTCAAAATTCTTTACCATCTAGATGTTCTCTTAGAGTACCATTTGGTACATATTCTGTAATAATAAGGCGCTCATTTCCTCTATCAACATAACCAAGTAACTTGACCAGATTCCGATGATCAATTTTGGCCAGTAGTTCAACTTCACTTCTAAACTCAGTTCGTAGGGTGTCAAAGTACTCCTGTGAAAGGTAAGTGTCAGCAACTCATAAGCCTTGGGAAGCAATAGATTCATGAGAATAAGTAGCCAGAAAAAAGTTTGGATCTTTACATCTAAAAAAACACAAAAGTTGTTTCAACTTTTTATCAAACAAACTATACTGAAAAAACAAGGTGAGATAACCTTCGGTCACTCATGGTTCCATCACCAGCAAAGCTAGACATACATTAACACCAGGAAGAAATAACCTAAGATCCAAGTGGATACACAGACTCAATTTTACTGTTGCAAAGATAGAGCAGTATTGAATAGTGTAAAATGATTTAGGTTTCCAAATTCTTATCATTCCATCGAGGATGTGGGAGTTCCTTTTCAGGAAGGGACCTAGAACTGATCAAATTTGGTCATGTCATTGATTGAGTTATGGTGACTTAGATCAAAGTCTACACCAATGTCACTATTTAAGCAAGTTCCATGGTTTCAAAGACAATATTAAACTGATATTGGACTCACCAAAATCACAACTTATGGAAATCCCTAAAATAATTTCTTCACATGTCTGAACTCATCACTGGTTAAGTTTTGTTAAAACTTAGTCTATTGCATTTTTTCACCCTACACTGACATGTAGCCTTGACTGCAATAGCTTTGTGGATAAACAGAATAACAATCAGTCAACATGTTCAGCAACTAATCAAAATCCTGATGCCTGCCTTGGTCATATTTTGAGTAGTATATAATCTTTTGGCCAGGAAAATCTCAAAGATAATTGAACCTAAAGTAAGGTTTAACAGGTAGTACACACATACATAGCATCTTCCCTGTATAATGTTCAAGATTTCTCCCTTTCAAATAAATGGTAAAAAATCCTCCATTTAATGTTTTCTTTTTTCTTTTTCAGTTAATCTTTAAAGCAAAGTGATGTAACTGTACTTGGTACATCTAAAGAAGGAAACCTCGAAGTCTAGTCTTTTTTCATACTAAATCAACTTAGAATTTGCTTCATTCAAGAAAAATGTAAACCTGAAGGTTTATGCCTCAATGTTCATTCTTTCTTTCTTTTTTTTTTCAACTTTTTTAATCACTTGGCTGGTTGATTGAGGGATTGGGAAAGGAGAATACAAATTCCCAGAAAAGATGTCTAACAATGCCTCACAGCGCCAGTCAAAAACTTAATAAAACACATGATACTAGTCTTGAGCCTATTTCAACTTTCTTTACATATAAACTGCTAACTAAAAGAGCGAAAGGGATAGTGTTTTATCATCCTGGAGTATCAAAAAAATGGAGAAATGTATTTGGTCTCACACCATATTATTAAGCAAAGTCCACAT